AATGCAGGGAAATTTGGTGTGTTATTTTCATTGCTGACATACCAGTCTAACACATGTAATTGTTTGAACTTAACAGGTTGGTTCAACTCCAGACTTAATGGTCGCTTACATTGATTTCTTTCTGGGAGGTGATGAGAAACGACTTGATGTAGCGGCCACAATCCAGAAGAGGTTTCCCATGTGTTTAATTTTTGGCGGTGAGGGGAGCTATATGTCCCCATACCACCTACACAGTGATACATTACTGTCAAATCTTCTTGGCCAGGTGAACATTAGACAATTTAATATTGAACAAGTGATGCCAAGGACATTACTCTTTTTTATATCTATAGATATGCTCCACGTTCCCAATTATATTACTCCTACATGAGGATTAGCCAGTAGCCACTTTGTCACACATGGTCAAAGTAGAAAAATTCCAGTCTTGACTAGGATATGGTTGTCTGCCAAAGTAATGCATTATTATTGGTTACAGATTTTTTATCGTTTGCCCCGAGGTTAGTGTGCCTTTGTAACTTGCCCCATTTGATATGCCTCAACTTTGCAAATTGTCATAGGCGTGCAACAACTTTGAGGCAAATGGTATAAAAATCCCTATTAGCTGTGTTTGGTTTTGATATCATATTCTAGTGTTTTTGAGGTGTCCACTGCTTATTTTCTTCTTCTTATATATGCTACAAAATGCATTTCTTGTGTTCAGTCACTCCCAGTGACTCAGTTTCATTTTCCCAGTATGTGTCTACTGCGATTTGGAACAGATTAGTAGCTGGCTTGAATACTCAGTTGAGGTCAGTAAAGCAAGGCAGCATCCGGTCAACTCTGGGTCCGGTTGTTTCTTGGATTAAGAGTCATGGGAATCCCCAACTTGAGCGACATGGTGTTCGAGTAGAGCTAGGGTGGTTTCAGGCCACTGCTTCTGGTTATTACCAGCTAGGTATTGTTGTAGCAGTGAATGAAAACTTCTACAAGAGTCACCACCATCATGAGCATGCCCCAGATTTTGGTGATCGCTCGAGGTATGAAAAGAAAGGCCAACTACAATAGCATGTCTTACAAAAAACATTTCTCATGCTGTGTGAAATGACTGCTATGTTTTTAATTCTACAGGAAGAATTTTGCAGTTCCACTACTGGGTTCCAAGCAGGCAATTCAGGATCAGCCTTGCACAAGCTATGGTGTTTCCAGAAAGCGGTTGACAGGCGGAGTGACTGGTGGGGTCATAAACGAAGAGACACTGAAGTCACTGGACTACAAAAGAGATTATCTATTCCCTCTGTCGTTGCTCTTGCAAAATTGCAGGCCTATTGGCTATGCGGTAAGCAACCACTAGACCCTTTCTATAAGCACACAAATGCTCATGTCGTACATGACAGTTACCTATATTACCTTAACTGTGACCTTGCTTTGGCATTTCAGGAAACACTGCAGTTGCTTATTTGTATTGTACTTGTGGGTGATTTTACCATCACCCTGCTTATGCTTGTACAATACTACTGGATATCTGTTGGAGCTTTCCTTGCTGTACTGCTTATTCCACCCCTTGCTTTGCTTTCCCCTTTTCTTGCTGGCCTCAATGCACTTTTCAGCCGAGGACCAAAAAGATCTTCTGTCACCCGCATTTTTACACTTTGGAATACTACTTCTGTCATAAACATTGTAAGTCTTGTTTACATGTGGTTTATCCTTGAACTCTTTTATTTACATGCTATTTATCCTTGAACTCTTTTGTATCTAGCATTGTAATAGTAGAGAATATATCTATTAATTCTATTGCTATCAGTTCGAAATGCATCGCAACATATATTCATAAACATATAGTGTGACAGGTTCGGAGATTTATGAATCTTATTTCCGTGCAGATTGTAGCAATCGTCTATGGTGCTATTTTCTCTGGGCTATCTTCTTTGACAGTGTCTTCAGCTCAGGCATCAAACAGCAAAAGGTTAGATTCCTTATATGTACTTATAGAGAGAACATTTCAATCGACTCGCACTATTCGTTCTCCAGTTTTCGAAAAAGATCCATTGCTCAGGAAACTGGCTTACTATAATTTCAAGGCTTTCCACTTACAACCGAGAGTTTGGGCGGTATTTGTTGGGGGTTAGGGAAACCCATCTCACGAGTAATTAAAAAATGCCACATTGAGAATCTAGACAATTACTTTTACTAGCAAATTACCTATGCCTTGCAACAGGGGCAACTTTATTCTAGTGGTTCAAGGTAGGAAAATTTGATTGGGTTGAGATTGAGATATGTTGTCAGGAGGGAGTCCATAGGCAAAGGTAAGGAAATATATGATGTGATTGAGATTGTGTACGTACAACTACATGAGTTGATTTTGTTGTTTGCTAGCAAGGGATTTCTTGCTATTGGTGATTTATTTGATTTCTGTCGATTGCTTTGCATGGGATTTTTTTCCCTAGAAAGGAGGAGGTGGGGTTGATTTAGAAAAAAAAATTAGTGGGGATTATCGCGTGGTTTGAAAAAGAAAGTGGGTGGGAGAGGGCATGTTGGATGAGAAGGGTGGAAGTGATGGAAGCGAAACCAGCAAATGGCCCTTTAATAGTGATAATAGTGGATATCATTGTGTTTTGGATTGACTTAATTACAAATTACAAATATTATTTTAGATGAGACAGAAGAATTAAAAACTACCCACATGTTACATGCTGATCTGTTTGTTCTTTGGCGCATCTGCAGCTTCAAGGGTAGGGACGACGATGGATGGTGGATACTGCCAGTTGTCCTGTTTGTTGTCAAGTCGCTTCAAGCCGGATTGGTCAACTGGCACATAGCAAATCTGGAGATCCAAGATCATTCCTTGTTTAGCCCTGACCCGGACAGATTCTGGACAATGTAGTGTACCTAGTCGCAAAGATGGCAGAATCTCAACGGCATGGCACTGCTGTATTTTGTCCCCTGTAGTCATGGCGCTCTAGACCTGAAACTTGTTCCGGCATAGTGTAGATGTGTCTGAAGTGAAATTTTGTTAGTCTGGAGTATGTACATTGACCGTTAGAATAGGTTTTGTTGTTCTGGGTGAACTAGATTTCTTTAGTTTATAGGTTTTTAGTTTGAGCTAGTGATCAGAGTGTACAGCAAGAAACAGGTGATGCGATTGGTGTTCGTATGGTGTACATTATGTATGTAATAAATAGTAGGAGTGAATGCATATAAAATCAGTGATGTTCATTTTTACTCAGGATGTGCATGAGTTGTGCAACAACAATGTCATCTTGCAAATTTGCAATCGATATACAGGAGACGGATATCATATGTGCTTGTACATTTTCCCTGTAGGGGTCTTGAGCCTAAAAGAAGAACATGTCTAGTGCTCTCACGGCTTGGCTCCGAAGAACATATACAATGCAATGTGCTAGTGAAAATAAGCCAATTTTTTTATTAAGCGTCGTAGCTTGTTTTCATATTAGAGGTGTCTAGGTAAGGCCTTGTGCTATATAAATAAGCATCGGTGCTTAAAAAAACTGATTTATTTTCATAAGCTCCTCTTTAAGGGTGTGTTTAGTTGAAGAACCAAGTGGAATGGAATGGAATGGTTCCATTCCACAAGAATGGAATGGTTCCATCTCTATGTTTAATATGGTCAGTGAGGTGGAATGGAACGGTTACATCTTCATGTTTAGATGTGTGTACGCCGCTGCTGCAGGTGAGGCCGCCCTCGGCCAGCCACGAGCCACGGCCACAGCCACAACCCATGGTCGCTGCGGCTCCTTCCACTGCCGCAGCTCTGCCACAATTGGTCGCTGCCGCACTCCTCCTTGGCCGCTGCCGCTACGCTGCAAGCAGCTTCCGCATGTGCCTACGACAAGATGGCCGCTGCTTCACTCACCGTTAGCCGCTGCCGATGCACAGCAAGCAGCTTCGGCCGCTCAGATGTGCCTGCGACAGGACGGCTGCTCCTCCTTCCTTTGCCTGAATGTGTCCGCGGTAAGATGGCCGCTCCTCCTTCTGTCGCTGGGAGAGATGAAGATGGCCAGCTGTTGGGAGGAAGACAAGCAGGAGGAGAGACGACACGGAGGAGACGGGCAGCCGACGCCGGAGAATGGGCGAGGTGGGAGTCGGGGGAGTGGCGGCGCTGAGATATGGAGGGTGCGTGCGAGTCGGGGGAAGGGGAAAGAGGCGCCCGTTCCGCATGGTCCGCCCGATTCGGAGGTATGGCTTGGTTCCGGATATACACGGAATATTCGTTCAGTGGGAACGAGTGGGTTCTGTTCCATTTGCGTACCAAACGCTGGAACGAGGCCCAAGGACGGGTCCAGCCCATGCCGTTCCACTTGGTGACTCAAACTAAACACACCCTAAGCATCTTGCATTGTACGTGCCCTAAGAGCAAATTTTTTTGAAGAACACTCTTATGTGGATTAGTAGAAGATATATCAACCATCATGTAAGGAGATTCAATATACTTAGATTCCCGCCGATCATAGGGTTCAGACATTTGATCTTAGGGCCGAGGGTAAGATCGAACGCTTAGTCCACAGACCGGGTAAAGTCCTGCTTTTCTACATTGCTCGTGCCCACACCCTTCATGCTTGTTGGGCACATAGATTCCTCCGAAACATCTTATATGAACTTCATGCGACAATTTTTCACATGAGCTGCAATATTTTGAATAAATGTTGTGTGACAATGAGTAGTTGTACTATGTATGCATATACTATATATGTCATATGGGGTGTATGGACCTAGGTATATGTAGACCTTGGTGCCCACACCGTTGGGATATGCTTTGAGTCCTCGTAAATAAGCCTACTCAGAAATGAGGAGGCTACCACCATACCACGAATATATAAAGGAGGCCAAGACCCGACAACCGAAGCAAGTTTTTACATGCACTACTGAGAGATATAAAGGGTGTTCTCTATTAACTCATATTATTGAGCATGAAGGCAATACAAAGCATCATGAACACACACTAAGTTTCTGAATGGCTGATGCACATACTAGGGTTATACTTAACTCTTGATTGTGCATTCCAGCTAGGGCTTGAACATGGGTGGCTTCCTCACTTTAGTAGCTTGCTCGAATGCATATGCCATCTCGATCAGCCTTGGCTCGTACCCCTGCAGCCCACCGAAGCATATGCCAAAGGGAACCCCTTGCTCGTTAAACCCCGCTGGCACAATGATGCCAGGGTGACCACCTGTGGCAAGAAGGCTAGAAGCGTCGCTGCCGGGCGTCACAATCGCGTCTAGTTGGTGCTCCTTCATCAACTTCTCCAGCCCATTAGCTGACAGTTCCTTTAGCTGTCGTATCGCCACTCTTTCCACGGGGCCAATGCCGCTTGTGTTTTGGGCCGCGATAAGGTCATCCTGCCCGAAATCTTTCATCCGCTCCTGCAGCAAACATGTCATTAATTAGGTTTCAGCTCACTTATTGGATCCGGGCCTCTGCATCGATGGATGTAAATGAACTGATGCACAAGCAACACGGCCTCTAAAGTTTGTGGGTAAACTAAGTTACACAATATGTTCTTGGATATATTGCTGCTTATTATTTCGAACATACAATAAGATAAATCAAGAATTTTCAGTTTTTTACGCTATTTATTATTACCTCTATAGGATGTGCGTTGTTGAAAACTATGATGTCCGCGAGCGAATGGACTGGGGAGTAGACCAAGTCTGCCAAGTAGGCGTTTATGCTGAGCTTGAACTCTGCCACCACTGCGATGCCCTCGTTGGAACTGATATCATCCAACAGAGCCGTCGGATTGGCCGTGACACGCAAGTTATCGACCACCACGGCCCCATGTTTCCTTTGACGAAATTAATATAAAATAGAATAAGAGTATATGGATGCAAAATCGAAACCTTTAGGTACCTTCTTTAGTTCAAAAAAAAAAAAACAATACACTAAAATTTTGAAATTCACATCATTTTTCATAGTTTATTTGGTTGAACCAAGACGAAGGACCCGAAGGTACCTTGCCCCCCACATTCCATATAAAGAATAAGATGACGATAAAGACCATCTTTAACCTGAGTTCCAATACATTGGATATCCCACATAAGGGATAGGAGGAAGACTCGACGTTTTATTTCACGGAATCCCCAATGAAAAATGCACACCATTCCCTCTTTTCTACCAAATCGGTCATAAAGGTTCCAAATTTGCATTCCAAAATAATAGAAAACCATCGACAGTCGGCGGTATTTATTTAAATTGTTCGTCACTCACCTCATGGTGGCGAGGTGCTGCTCGTACACCCTCAGTCGCTGCGTGCCTGCATATATGATTGGAAGAATCCACGGAGGACGCCGACCCTCTTGCCTCTCAGCCCGTCCTTCCTCAAGAACTGCGCGTACCCACCGGGAGGGATGTACTTGGACGCCGCTCCGGTGGCCGCGGCGTCGTGCTCGTCGTAGCCGATGACGGCGTCCAGCACGTGCACCGCGTCTGACACCGTCCGGCAAATCGGCCTGCATTCCAACTCATTCAAAATTCAAACCGATGAAGAGAGGTGGAAAATATATTTCAACGCTTCCCTCACGTCTAGACTTATTTAGTTCTTAGACGTGGGATTTAAGCAAGGAAAAAAATAGCGCGCTACAGTAAAATAGAGCTGACCTCAAGATATGCTATTAGCGTGCTATATCACGTTATAGTGTGCTATTAACGAGACGTTGTACACTGATATATTTAGCGAGACAATTCTCAATACGCTATAGCGTGCTATTTTTCAATGAATTTAAGTAGGCCACATAATCTTTTTTTAATATTGCGTTGGCAGAGCCTTGAACTTATTAAGACTTTTGAGCTTGATACCATATTGAACTAGATGACGCTCCGCACGTTGTTGCGGGAATGTTTTGCAATATTTTGATGAGGTTTTGGTTATATGAAACATTAATATTTGAAATAATAGTTTTTGAATGAATATAAAAATTAAATGTAAATAGCATAATAGAATGAAATTTTCCATGCATGTTTGCATGTTGAGGTGGGTTTTTATTATGCATAGTTCCATGTTGAGGTGAGCCTTTTTCATGCATGTTGAATGATGAGGTGGCATGCTTGCATGTTGAGAGAAATATGTTAGTGAGGGCTAATTATTTAGATATAGAAGATTCATGCTCCAGCCAATTCATTCAAAAGTCAAAACTGATGATGGAGAAAGACGACAATATATTCCAACAATGATGAATGAAGAGAAACAACATCAAGAAGAAGAATTCCCACCCGACGGTGTCCTGCAACGGGGTGATGGACACGACGCCGGCACGGCTGGTGAGCCCGAGGGTCGGCCTGATGCCGACCACGGAGTTGAACGACGACGGGCAGAGTATGGAGCCGTCGGTGTCGGTACCCAGCGTCACGGCCGCCATGTTCGCCGCCGCGGCGACGCCCGACCCGGCGCTCGACCCACACGGGTCGGACGACAGCACGTACGGGTTGCGCGTCTGGCCGCCGCGGGCGCTCCACCCGTTGTCGACTTGGCGGAACTCGGACCACTCGGAGGGGTTAGACTTGCCGAGCACCACGGCGCCCGCGCGCCGCAGCCGGGCCGCCACGCCGGCATCCCGCCTCACCACGGAGCCGAGGAGCGCCAAGGAGCCGGCCGTGGTGTTGAGCGCGTCGCGGGTGGCGATGTTGTCCTTGAGCAGGACGGGTACGCCGTGCAGCACGCCGGTGGGCTGGCCGCGGCCGCGCGCGGCGTCGGCGCAAGCCGCCTGCCGGAGCGCGTCCGGGTTGACCTCGATGACGGCGCGCAGCAGCGGGTTCAGGCGGCTGATCTGGTCCAGATAGAACTGGACGAGCGCGGTCGAGGTGAGGCTGCCGTTGCGGAAGCCGAGCTGGATGGCGTCGATGGTGGCCTCGTGGAACTCGAAGCTGTGCGCGGCGCCGGCGATGACCATCAGAGCGAGGACGGCGGCAGCAGATTGCAGCCGCAGCCAAGCCATACTTAGCTGAGCTGCACGGTGCCAGTGTGTGGTTTGGCCAGTGCGCCCGTTGCTTTAAGTTAGTGGCATTTGAACATATTTTGTGGAGTCGCTTTTGGCATTTTTCAGATGCTCCATGAGTATGCCTGTCCCGGTCACTTTTCCAACGATACATTTCCAGGAAAGATCTTCTGAAAAGTATCTAAATATTTGTCGACAAATTTGCGGAAAATAATTACACCATAGATGTACATAAATATGGTGAAACAAACAAAATAAATCCCAACAACACCACCATTCTCTTGTCTGTTCTACGGCAAGAAAGTGGGGGTCTTCCTGACCATGGTAACCTGCTCAAACGCATACGCCATCTCGATCAGCCTCGGCTCGTACCCCTTCAACCCACCGAAGCTGACACCAAACGGCACCCCTAGCTTGCCGTAACCACCCGGTATGGTGATGGCCGGCATGCCGCCCATGGCGAGCACGGAGGACGCGGAGTCGTTGGGTGTCACGACCGCGTCCAGCTCATGCTCCCTCATCAGCTTCTCTAGCCCGTCGGCGGACAGCTTGTTTAGCTGACTGATCGCCGCTTTCTCAATGGCACCAATGCCGGTCGTGTTCTCGGCCACCAGGAAGATGATCTGCCCAATTTTCTTCATCTTTTCCTGCCATGCGTGTCAATCTCGTAATTTCAGTTTCGTGACTTTTAACGGAAACAAACATATAAACCATAACATAAAGGTAACGATGAGAAAATACATGAAGATGAAAACAATCAACTCTGAACTAAGCTGACCTCAACGGGATGTGCATCGTTGAAAGCTATGATCTCTGCAAGCGTTCGAACTGGAGAGTAGGATAAGCCCGGCAGATATGCGTTGAGGCTTAACTTGAACTCTGCTGCTAATGCAATCTCTTGTCCGTTGTTAAGGGAATCCAATATGACACTTAGATTCGCTATGTCAAGGTCCTCGATCACTATTGCTCCTTGTTTCCTTCAAATGGACAAACAATGTAATGTGACTCTCTCCGATCCATATTAGTTGTTGCTCAAACGGATCTATCTAATAGCAACAATTAATATGGATCGGAGATAGTAATACTTTTTCGGCAAACTTTGCAGTACTTGAGGCATTGAACATCTCACAAAGAGGGCAAAGATGGAAATTAGGATTGCTCCGCTATTGTAAAAGAAGAAGGCAAATACCTCATTGTGTCTATATGTTGCTGGTAAACTGTGTGCTGCACGGTCCCATTCGCGTAGCTGAAGAACCCATTGGGGATGCCGATCCTCTTCCCGTTTAGTCCATCTTTCTTCAAGAACTGTGTGTATCCACCATCGGGGATGTACTTGGAAGCTGTGCTTGTGGCTGCCGCGTCGAGGGCGTCGTAGCCGACGATGGCGTCCAGCACAAGCACCGCATCTGTCACTGTGCGGCAAATCGGCCTGCCGTATGAAACATCAAGATCTCCATTTGTTTTACTTTACTTGAAGACACAGTTCATATGGCAACCATTAATAACAGTGATTGTGTGCATCATAACAATGCAGAGACCGGAGGTTTGACCATCATTTCAAAAAAACAACAACTATTTACTGTGTTGTACTACAGTAGGATGTTTAGCACCATTTGCAAAATACCACTAGGATGATTTATAAACCAAGGAAAGACCGAAAGAGTGGCAGCTACCCTAGCCAGTTGGCAAGTTGAATATCAAAGTGGACTTTGAGAAACATTTCTTATTCAAGAAAAAAAGGGGGTTGCAATCTCGATCTCTAGATCTGTTGATGTCAATAGCAAGATTGTGTGTAACAAGTTGTCCTGCATCTCAACCATTCAAAGCCCACTTTTCGATCTCTCTTTTGAAAAAAAATATTTTTATCAATTCAAGCTCTATCATGTCGCGTGTACCCTCAACAGTTAATCCATAATTCGACCTCACGTGACATGCAAAATTCTACTAATTTTAATTGATTTGGAACAAAGAGAGTACAAAAATAACTATGGAAACGCTAAATATCCTACGTCGGAATTGTAGGCTTAGTAGCGATTTTAGTTTGTAAGGACAGTAATCTTTCTAGTAAAAAGCGAACCGAGGGGGATTTGCCGTGCTCGCCAACTACACTTGCCATCCTCGAAAAACATAATTTGGCATGAAAAACGTTCGATTTGCCATTGTCAAACATCTGACATCAAATTTGTAGTGGAGTCCAATAATTGAAAGTGATCTTTTTTTTCCGGTGATATGACATGCATGATATGCCGAAGCTAGGCTGCTATATGAACCTAAGCCGTTGTTTTCACATTTTTGACAACTACGGAGTATTACCTCCGTCCTGGTTTATTAGTCTCCTTTTGTATTTTGTGCTAAAGTTGACCTTAAATTTAAATAATAAAATGTTAATGCATGTTATAAAAAATAATATAATTGGAAACTATGTTCGAATACGAATCCAACTATATCAT